CGCTACAACCCATCAAAAGCGGCGGGAGGGGGGGGGGGGGAGAACAGGTTCTCATCTGCAATTAGACAAGAGCCAATTGTGGCACTGAGATTGGCACTGGTGACGTAAGTTAATTTGTGACTTGCTTGACTTCGCTCATTGGAGGGTGAACGCTCAGTGATATCTCAGAGCAGGCTCCAACCTGGATGCTGTGTGTGACACTTAGAAGATTATTTTTCCAGTTTCGGGAGGAAGGTGGTGAAAAAAGGCTCAAAAAAGCTGTCGGGTAAGGCAGATTGTCTGCTGCAGGCTGAGAGCTCTTTGTTGTGGCACACTCTGAACCCTGCCTGGGGACTTGTGGTGACAGCTGAGCCGTTTGTCACTGTTCAGCACGCCGCCATGAGAGCTCAGGACCTGCGCACAAGTCTGAATTTTATCTGGGGCCCTAAACGTGGCCTGGCTTTCAGAAGTGCTAAGCATTTGGCAGCATTTACGTGGAAAAATCGATCCTGTACTTAAATAGCTACTTTAGTGACGTAACAGCACATGTGATGCAAGCTCAGGATGAGGCTCGAGGAACTAACTGGTGAGGACAGGTGGGCTCCTCCTTTCTGGAGGATGAGTTTAAAATTTCCTTGGAGAAAATAGCACTGAGTGCCAGGATCACAAGAAAACAAAACACCTCACCCTTCAGAGGCAGTAAAGGAGGCATGAGAGGCTTGGTTTCAGGGCCAAGCAGGCGCCCTGTGGGAATACCTTGCTGTTTATTTGTTTCTTAACCAGATCTGTACTCGGATTTCCAGGCCAAGCGTAACATTATCGCTTGAGAGTTGAACATACCTGAGACAGGAGGGACCTGGTAGCCTCTCCTCCCAGCCTGGCTCTGAAAACCTTTTCCCTGAATGCACTGCTGAGGCTTTCTTCTGCTCCCTTAATACATATGATGCCTCTGTAGGAAGCATAGCTGCTGTTTGCCCTCCTCAGGGACCAGGTGAAGGCCAGATATTGCTCTTCAGCAGTGTTCTCTTGCCAGGCCTGGCTGTGCAGTGTGTTGGTTTGTCTCCAGCGGCTCTTACTGCTTTGACTTAACTGTCCTGGCCTGAGCCATTCTGCACTTTGGGCTGTTGTGTAAAGGCAAAGGGAGAAAAAGGTGCTGGAAGGGTTGATGCAGAGCTCTGTGCTTGTGCAACTGCTGCTGCAATTTGTTTCTTACGAACTCGTGCTTGGCGGCGTGCTACATTGAGGATGCGTGACAGTTTTTTAGGATTCAAGTCAGAATCAGTGGCTTGGGGTTAGGCCACTTGTTAATAAGACTGAGTAGACAACAAAGATGCAAAGGACTTAGCTGGATGGTCTTTCAGGGGTGAAAACAGTCTACGGTTGGGCTGCCTCGAGGGTTTGGTCACCCCACTGAGTACTCTGGAGGTGAGGGCTGCTGTAGGTTACCCAAGGAGCTGGTTTGGCTACACTCAGCCACCACTTGGCATTTGCAGGTGTCAGAAGTACTGGTGAGCTTGGCTCTGTACCACAATTCTGTTGCAGAACAAATGAATAAGTAGGGAATTTCGTCAGGGCAACTTCTAACCAGCTTTCTTTCTAGCAGGAAAACTGAAGCCCCCTTTCCTGAAGGTTGAAGACCAGAGCAGGTAAATGAGGTTTTTCTGAACATAACAGCCAAACTGTAATAAAACCTCAGGGGCTTCCAGGGAGGGAATCCTTTACCCATTTTATTTGCACGTGGGGCAGTGAATATTCTGTCCACAAGGCAGAGTGTGGCTTCTCTGAAGACCCTGTGACACATCGGGAAGCTGACACTCTCCTAGAGGGAGGCAAATGGAGTTTAGAGAAACAATCTAGGTGGCTCATATGTCGGGGAGAAAAAAGGTGTTAAACGAGACTTGACAACGGAGTTTACTTCCGTGCTTGGATTCCGTTTGTGATCCTCAGCAGGTCACTTAATCTGCTCAAGCCCTCTGAAATGAGGAGAGATTGAACCACATGAGGTCAGGGCCTGTAACTTGATTACAGCATCCAGCACTAGGGGGATCTGATCTCTGTGGTGTTTCTAACAACTCTGTAACTCTAACGGTATCCAGAGTGCTAATTAATTATTCCGAAGACAACATTTAAGGAAGCTGCAGAGTCAAATATTAGGTTTTACATGCTGCATGCAATAAGGTGTGAACAGAGAGATGTGGTCAGGGAACCAAAATCTTCCCATGCTGCTGCATAGCTGCAAATACTGCCCTGGCTGCTGCTGCTGTGCATCAGGGGCAAAAGGTGGGTTTTTAGTTGAGCAGGCAAGCTTGCCTTCTGTCCAAAACATCCCTCCCCATCAGTACTGTTAGTGGGAGTTGGGTTTAGTACTTCCAGTGAGAAGTGGGAAATCTCTGGAACAGCCAAATGAAAGGAAAGTGATGGCCAGTATCCCATCATAAATGAGACAGCACCTTGAGCCCCTCTGAGGGAGGGACAGCTCTAACCATGCTATCGCTGCCAGAGGTCTGATGTCCTGATCTGCTGCTTTCAGGCAATTCCGACCCTTCCATCACCAGTTCAAAAGCTTTCCCGACCTGAACTTCCTGGCACCCAAAAGCTCCAGCCCATTTGAGCCTCTGAAAAGCCTCTCGAATTCTTGCAAAGCCAGGTAGGTTGTAGCTCCTTCTGTGCAAGTTTTTCACCCAACTCCTCTGCTAACTGCTGCCCTGCTGGTTCCTAGGATTTAGAGAATCTCTTGTCTTCTGAACGTGGGCAGAAGGAGCCCTGCTCTGGGTTAAGGAGCTGTATCTCAAAGGCAGCGCTGCCTCCCTGGCCCTTAGGCAGGCAGCTGGGTCCCCACTGATGCTGTCAAGCGAAAGCAGGGAAGATCTTTGCTGTTACCTTGCAGGGGTGCAGAGGGCTGTCCGATGCGCAGCGAGGGGGAAAAGAGCCCCCGATCCACACCGGTCACTGTGCCAAAGAAAAAGAGGGGATTTTGTGAGTGCTGCCAAGAGACCTTTGAAGAGCTGCAGAAGGTAAAGGCTCCCCTGGGGACCTGGTTCCTTGCAAAAGTTATGGGGGCCGCTCAGTGGCCTCGTTAATTGTGATGTGCCTGTTACCAGTACAAACTCTTTTGGAAGGAAGGCAGATTGCTATAGGTACAGCCTTCATGGTATCTCGGAGGATCAGCCTTGTAGATGAAAGCCATAATATATCTGTGCTCTGACCTCCTGGTCTGGGCAAATGATGGTTTTGCAGATTGGAGCACAACACACTGGGGGCTGGGAGAGCCTCAAGGATGATCCTGTTACCTGACATGTAAGGTGGGAAGCCTGTTCCATGGCAGCTGGGGGGGCACATGCTGATTAAAAAGGTGGGAAGAGGTTTTCTTATGTCCTGGAAGATGCCAAACAATGTGGCTTTCAGAGGCCAGCCTTTAGTGATAGACAGTATGTATTTGGAGTCAGCATTTTTACTAGCTGCTGGGGAAACCAGAAGGCTGCTGTTAGACATAGACACAACCTCCTCATCAGCAGGTGTCTATGGGAACAGAATACTCACTGTAAGCAACCAGGGGTAACAGCGTTGCCTACGTTTCCCAAATCTGCTTCCAAACAACAGCTCTATCTGATGAAAAGGCTGTTTGCCCTCTAGTCTGTGGGAAGTGGCTGTTACTGCAAATTTCCCTCCTGTGAAAGGATAAGTGTTGCTAAAAGGGCCTCTGTTGCCTTCCAGCACCTCCAGAGCCTCCAGCACAAGCGGTTTGCACTGGACAACTCACAGTATGCCCCAGTGGATTGTGTCATCTCGCAGCTCACCAACAACTTTGTGGAGCAATCAGTCAAGTAAGTCTTTGCAAATCTGGTAACTCCTCAAGTGGAAAAGCGCAGCTTGGTGCCGCATGGCACGCTCATGAGAACGAGCCTGGCTCTCCATGCTGCTGTGGTACTGGTGCCTAGCCCCATGCCCTGTGCCAGTGAATCGGCCAGCAGGGAGCAGAGGGCTCTGTGGCTCTGTGTTTCTGTGGCTTCTCTGCTTCAGGGAACTCCCTGTGGACTTCTAGTGCCTCTTAAACTAAAAAGGGCAGCTGAGCCCATCTCTTCTGTCCCGATGTCTGACACAAACCCTGCCGCTCTGGTAGCACTCCTGTGCCTGGGCCCTGGGCTGTTGAGAAAGCTGAGAGATCCCTCGTGCTGGCAGTCTGCCCGAGTGTCGGACCCAAACCCTGCCGCTCTGGTAGCACTCCTGTGCCTGGGCCCTGGGCTGTTGAGAAAGCTGAGAGATCCCTCGTGCTGGCAGTCTCCTCTGCCAGAAGCAGTATCACTGCTGAGCCTCGCTGGTCTGAAATTTCTTACTGCCTCCTGAGCAACCTGTAACTTGATTACAGCATCCAGCACTAGGGGGATCTGATCTCTGTGGTGTTTCTAACAACTCTGTAACTCTAACGGTATCCAGAGTGCTAATTAATTATTCCGAAGACAACATTTAAGGAAGCTGCAGAGTCAAATATTAGGTTTTACATGCTGCATGCAATAAGGTGTGAACAGAGAGATGTGGTCAGGGAACCAAAATCTTCCCATGCTGCTGCATAGCTGCAAATACTGCCCTGGCTGCTGCTGCTGTGCATCAGGGGCAAAAGGTGGGTTTTTAGTTGAGCAGGCAAGCTTGCCTTCTGTCCAAAACATCCCTCCCCATCAGTACTGTTAGTGGGAGTTGGGTTTAGTACTTCCAGTGAGAAGTGGGAAATCTCTGGAACAGCCAAATGAAAGGAAAGTGATGGCCAGTATCCCATCATAAATGAGACAGCACCTTGAGCCCCTCTGAGGGAGGGACAGCTCTAACCATGCTATCGCTGCCAGAGGTCTGATGTCCTGATCTGCTGCTTTCAGGCAATTCCGACCCTTCCATCACCAGTTCAAAAGCTTTCCCGACCTGAACTTCCTGGCACCCAAAAGCTCCAGCCCATTTGAGCCTCTGAAAAGCCTCTCGAATTCTTGCAAAGCCAGGTAGGTTGTAGCTCCTTCTGTGCAAGTTTTTCACCCAACTCCTCTGCTAACTGCTGCCCTGCTGGTTCCTAGGATTTAGAGAATCTCTTGTCTTCTGAACGTGGGCAGAAGGAGCCCTGCTCTGGGTTAAGGAGCTGTATCTCAAAGGCAGCGCTGCCTCCCTGGCCCTTAGGCAGGCAGCTGGGTCCCCACTGATGCTGTCAAGCGAAAGCAGGGAAGATCTTTGCTGTTACCTTGCAGGGGTGCAGAGGGCTGTCCGATGCGCAGCGAGGGGGAAAAGAGCCCCCGATCCACACCGGTCACTGTGCCAAAGAAAAAGAGGGGATTTTGTGAGTGCTGCCAAGAGACCTTTGAAGAGCTGCAGAAGGTAAAGGCTCCCCTGGGGACCTGGTTCCTTGCAAAAGTTATGGGGGCCGCTCAGTGGCCTCGTTAATTGTGATGTGCCTGTTACCAGTACAAACTCTTTTGGAAGGAAGGCAGATTGCTATAGGTACAGCCTTCATGGTATCTCGGAGGATCAGCCTTGTAGATGAAAGCCATAATATATCTGTGCTCTGACCTCCTGGTCTGGGCAAATGATGGTTTTGCAGATTGGAGCACAACACACTGGGGGCTGGGAGAGCCTCAAGGATGATCCTGTTACCTGACATGTAAGGTGGGAAGCCTGTTCCATGGCAGCTGGGGGGGCACATGCTGATTAAAAAGGTGGGAAGAGGTTTTCTTATGTCCTGGAAGATGCCAAACAATGTGGCTTTCAGAGGCCAGCCTTTAGTGATAGACAGTATGTATTTGGAGTCAGCATTTTTACTAGCTGCTGGGGAAACCAGAAGGCTGCTGTTAGACATAGACACAACCTCCTCATCAGCAGGTGTCTATGGGAACAGAATACTCACTGTAAGCAACCAGGGGTAACAGCGTTGCCTACGTTTCCCAAATCTGCTTCCAAACAACAGCTCTATCTGATGAAAAGGCTGTTTGCCCTCTAGTCTGTGGGAAGTGGCTGTTACTGCAAATTTCCCTCCTGTGAAAGGATAAGTGTTGCTAAAAGGGCCTCTGTTGCCTTCCAGCACCTCCAGAGCCTCCAGCACAAGCGGTTTGCACTGGACAACTCACAGTATGCCCCAGTGGATTGTGTCATCTCGCAGCTCACCAACAACTTTGTGGAGCAATCAGTCAAGTAAGTCTTTGCAAATCTGGTAACTCCTCAAGTGGAAAAGCGCAGCTTGGTGCCGCATGGCACGCTCATGAGAACGAGCCTGGCTCTCCATGCTGCTGTGGTACTGGTGCCTAGCCCCATGCCCTGTGCCAGTGAATCGGCCAGCAGGGAGCAGAGGGCTCTGTGGCTCTGTGTTTCTGTGGCTTCTCTGCTTCAGGGAACTCCCTGTGGACTTCTAGTGCCTCTTAAACTAAAAAGGGCAGCTGAGCCCATCTCTTCTGTCCCGATGTCTGACACAAACCCTGCCGCTCTGGTAGCACTCCTGCGCCTGGGCCCTGGGCTGTTGAGAAAGCTGAGAGATCCCTCGTGCTGGCAGTCTCCTCTGCCAGAAGCAGTATCACTGCTGAGCCTCGCTGGTCTGAAATTTCTTACTGCCTCCTGAGCAAGGGCTTCAAACATCCTGTGCTGCAGAAAACCTTTCATCTGACTGGGGAGAGGGTGTTGCTTGGCCTAGAGAGAGCAAGCATTAACTGATGGTTCTTCTCAGGGTGCCGCGGTCCTGCCTGACAGATGAATGCGTAGTGCCTCAAGCACAAGTTACTGGAGGAATTGAGATGCTGACAGCAAAGCTGGGAAAGGAAAGCCAGCAGCCTGAGCAGGGTGCCATGGAACTGTTAATTGATAGTGAGTGTGATTGTGGCCTGAAGACCAAGGGATGTTCCCCTTGCCTGCCCAGGGACAGGGTCAGTAATACCAGCAAAGGAGGGGTGTTGACAAAGAACTGCTCTTTGGGGCTGCCTGTTGAAGCAGGGCTTGCTGGAGGGGTCTGTGCTGCACGTGGCACCACAGAGGAGTCTGCACTGGGGGATGCAGATTTGGTCTTGGCTCCTGCCCTGGGCTGGGGGACTTGCGTAGTGGCCACTCATGTCAGAGAGGCAATTGCTTCTTCACCTGAACCTCATGAAGAGCAAGTGCTTGGGTCTGTCAGCTATCTTACACAGGTACTGCCTGCCTCTAGGAAACGCCAGCTCTCCTCCAGACAGAGCACCCAGATGGGAAAGAAGCCCAGGCTGGAGCTGGGTGGTGGCCTCTCACCGTACAAGCAGACAAACCCAGTAGATGGTCGGGTGGGTGTGCAGGGTGCAGGACAGATGTCTGAGCCAGGCTTGCCTAGTGTGGTGGAAGCTGGCAGCTTGCCCCTAAGCACAAAGCTCTCCAACAGACCTCATAGCTCCCTTGGTTTGGACCTGTGCCCATGCAGGAGCCCTGGGAACCCTGCATCATCACCGGGTTCCCTTGAAGCTGTGTCTGTGGGTTTTGATCCCCCAGAGGCTGCTGCAGCCAGCACTGTCAGCGAGCATGGCTGGAGCAGAGCGACCGGGAGCTCCCAAGGGAAGCACCGCAGAGGGGAAAATGAAAATGCACCCAGAAATGTGAATAGTCCTGATCTGGAGAGCACAATGAGCAAGACCAGCTGTCCTGCTGGCCCCTTGCCCTCTCCAGAACTGCCTGTGGCTGAAGCCAGATGTTGCTGCTTGCTCTGTGTCAGAGCAGCAGAAAAAATAGCACCCGAGCTACCTGCCCCCCCAAGCCACAGCAAAGAGCAGGCTCCATGCCCTGGGCTCCTTCAGCCTCTTCCACCTAATGCACAGGGTGATCACGACTTCAACAAAAGTCCTTCAGAGTCAGAGTGGGATGTCCAGCTGCTCTCCACGCTAACGGGTGTCCAGGACGGCAGGATTCAGTCTATGGACAGGGACCTGTTCCAAAGGACACACATCAGTATGAGGGACAGTGGGTATGAGTCTCAGCTCTGCTCAGTCCTGAAGCAGAAGTCGGAGCTTGCCTGGGCAGGCAAAGAGGACAAGAACTGCCGGAACTGCTGCACAGAGACCGAAGGAGCCTCTTTACCCATATTCGAGACCTTTTTTGGCAACTGGACTAGTTAAAACCACCTCCTGGCTGTTCACTGGGCCCTAGTGGGAGCTGTGAAGTGGCTTGAAAGGGGTTTAACTAAGCCACCCTCCCTGCCAGGACCAGGAGGTACAGCCAAGAGCTGGAGTGAGGACTGTCAGCTGTGCAGTGGCCTCCAGACAACCTGGGCAGCTCTCTTGTTGGGAAGTGATGGGTGATGTGGTGGTTTCACTGTCTTTGGCTGCAAGAGGGGCTGGGATCTTCCCCCCTTTCTGCTGCTAATGTTTAGAGCTGATAGCTTCCTCCTTTAACTCCTAACTGGGCTGCAGAGAAGACGGTCTTTCTCTGGAAGTGTTTTTAGGAATGTGCTCTTTGCCCTTTGAGTGAGAGCATGACTGGTTCTTCCTCTCATACAGTCCCTGGAGGTACAGATATGGTGGAGAGGAGGGCCCTGGGGGTGAGATCTGTGTTCTTCATATGGTTTGGGGGTTTGATGGATGTCTTTGAGTATTTACAGATGTTTGTAACTGGTATTAAGTTGTTGGGTTGGGGTTTTTTTAGCAAACTTAAACTTTGAAATAAAATGGAAGATGAGATCCTGCTCTGCTGTATGCTGGGTGAAACTTATCTGGTGGCCTTGAGCACAGCTAACTTGAAATTGCATGAAAAGTTCCATCAGTAGAGGCGAGGTGGTGACTGGGCAGAATATCCTTGCTGAAAAGGATCTGGGGGTGATGGTGGGCACTCGGCTGAATAGGGAGCAGTGGTAGTTCCGGTCACATTACATTACTCCATATGTGGTTTGCCCTAGGAATGTTGTACCCAGGGCAGGGGTCGCCATGTCTGGGGTGGCCCCAGGTAAAGAGGGACATGGAGAAACTGGAGAGCAGTCATGGGGGACTGTTGACCTTGCCTGGACATAGGGCCAAGGAGAGGAGATGGGGCCTGGGCTAGCCTTGCCAGGAGGAGGCTGAGGGGTGTCAGAGCAGGTTGTCACTTCTTGTAAGGGCAGTTCCAAGTAGGCTGGAGCCAGATGTCCTGAACTAGGGCTTCCAAGGTGCGGATTGGTGCTAGGGATGTGGTTTAGTTGTGGGATGGCAGGGTTAGGGTAACAGTTGGACTTGATGATTTTAAAGGTCTTTTCCAACCTAAATGATTCTATGATTGGGAAAGGGAAAGCCTCCCTGCCCAGGAGGGTGGGATAGCCCTGGACCAGGCACCCAGAGCAGTGGGGTCTGTCTGTCCTTGGAGATTTTTCAAGCCCAGAGTGAAGGACAACCATTCTCTTTCACTCAAGGCTTGAAGTGAAGCCCTGAGCAGCTGGATAAGGTAGCGCTGCTGTGAGCAGGAGGCTGGACATAAGACTTCAGAGGTTCTTCCTGAGCTAAATCATTCTCCAGTGCAGCAGCCAGGCTCCAGCTCTTCCTTACCTGCTGGAGAAGCCATACAGGTTATGAAGGGCTGAGGCAGCGGGAGCTGAACCATGCCAGGCATGGCGCTCTACCGTGAACGCGTCCCTGTAGCTGCCCCAGCTGAAGGATAATCCCTGGAAGAGTGGTAGCAACAGGCTTGGTGCTCCAACTGGCCAACATCTGGGCGTGCTGAGCCTCCTGGAGGAACTGACCAGCTCTGTGCCCCTCAGACAGCAAATATGGGATGACCTGGCCTGCAGGGTGGGCCAGGAGTGGATCCCCCCAGACCATTAGTGGAGGTGACCAGAACTCAAGATGGTCAGTTGTCTCCTGCAGTGCCTGGGCAGCCTCAAGGCAGCATTGCTCAATGGAGGAGGAGTCCCCGGGGCAGTAACAGAGGTGGTGTTGGGAGATCAGCCGGGGTGGTGAGGATGTTTGTCCTCCACCAAGCTCAGCCTTTCCATGGAGGAGAAAGGCAGCCCCAATTGCCGCCTGCCTGCTCCTAATGTTGATCAGTGACCTACAACATGGGGGTCCCTGATCTTGGGGACCGTAGGAGCTGCTCTGTGGACCCTTGGGGACCATTCAGGCCTTCGGTCAGATGCTCTTGCTGTCAGCTGGTGTAGAGCCCCTCCTAGGAAGTGCCTGTCCCCCTTGTCACGGTGGTCCTGAGGGCCATCAGGAGGGTGCTGGGAGAGGCTGGTGACCTTGCAGTCAGATCCTCGGCTGTTGGATCTGCTCAGCTGTGCCTGGTGCGGCAGGTTCCTCTCCTCCTTGCTGCGTTTGTGGCTAATTATTGCCTGGAGGAAGATGAAGGCCTGAGGGCAGCAGTCGTGGCTTTGAAGCCCTGCCTGCCCCGTGCCGGGCTTCGCAGAAGAGACGTGGGGCTGACGGGGGCAAGGAGTGGCCCGCGGGGGGGGGGGCCCCGCCACAGCGTGGCCAAGGAGACGATCGGTGTTTCCCTGTGCTGACAAAACTGGCGTGGGAGACGCTTCCCTGCAGGTGTGCGCCAGCCCCCGCGCACGGGGCGGGGGGTGCTGTGGGGGCGGCTGTGAGCCCCCCAACCTGAGCGTGACCCCTCTGCAGCTCCTCTCTGCTAAAACTGGGCTGAGGTGAACAGCCCCCACCCCAATCCCCCCCCATCCTGGAGCTGCTGCCGGTTTCAGTTTGTTAAGGCTCTGTGAAGTGTTGAGGATAACAAGGCGAGCAGTAGAGCTTGGGGAGGGAAACGGAGGAGGGTTGGGGCTCATCCCCCTCCCTGCTCCCCAGCCTCCAGCACGTCCCTGCCCTGTCCTGCCTTTGCTTCCACCTCTAAATGCTTCTGCCCTCCACTTCTGCGCAAAAGCAATGACGACCAAAGCGGCCGTCGTTAGCGAGGGTGTCAAGGTGGGTTTTGGTGCAGGTGGGGAGGGGGCCCATGGCACCGCCATGACTCATGGCTTAAAATACTCAACAAACTTCCTGGCAAGGCAAACCTGGTGCTTTCACGGGTGGCTCTGAGCTGCCACTGCGTACCCAAAGGCTTTTGCACCAGTGGGCGCGTGAGTCCTGGGGGGAGAAGGGAGCGGGTGCAGGAGGTGCAGAGGAAAGGGTTGGAGGAGAGGGGGGTCCACGGGGAGGGGGCGCACATGCCGTGGTGGCTCCCTGATGCCCTGTGGGGAGGGGTTGGGTGCTGGCACATGCAGGGAATCCTTCCCCTGGGCTCATGGCAGCCCTGGGCAGAGCTGGAAGGAGGAGGTGGGGTGTGGTGGTGTCCCTGGGAGATGCCGGGGGCTCCCCAGGTGCTGGCTGCCCCAGGGAGGGGGCTGAGGCCTGAACCAAGGAGGCACAGGAAGGGTTTGGCTGGAGCAGTAACACAAAATGGGTCAAAAAGTTTTAAAGGTGGGATGAGTCATCCTGGGGGAGGGTGAGGGATGTGTACCAGGGGTTCAGGACCCCCGGCTTGGTCTTTCTGGGGGGCTCCAGAGCCTTCCCAGAGCAGCCGGTCTCTGGGATGAATTGGGGGACACCGAGGTGCCTGAACTCCCCCCCACACTCTGGGGCACCGCGGTGGCTCAGCCATGCCCCTCATCCCCCAGTCAAAAGCAGGCAGGGGTTGCCCAGCACTGGCCGTGAGGATGCCCAGCACCTGCTGGGGTACAGCCCTGAGCAGCGTCTGGGGAGCCAGGGCTGGGGCAATGATCCCTGGGAGGTGTCTGTCCCACCTTCAGCCCCGGCCCTGGCACAGAGTCCCCCTGCACTGCTCAGAGCATCTATCACCTCAGGGCTCGGAGCCCCCAGAGCCCCCCAGGACAGCTCCAGCCATGGGTCCCCTCGGCTGCGCTGCATCTCCCCACAGGGCTGAGCGTCACCTGCCCACAATGCTGTCCCTCCCCATCCCACAACTGCAATAAACAGTTTATTGGGGCTTTTTTTTCCCCCCCAAAGAATTGCTGCGTTATCCCCAGGTGGGGAATATAACCTTGCAGCATCCCCCAAAATTGAGGCGACCCCAGAGGGGGTCCTTGTTTCTGCTACTTCCATGCCTGGCTGTGGGTGAGGACCCCAGCACCCAGCTGCCCACAGCTGAGGTCCAGGATTGACCCACATCCCCCAGTGCCATGGGGACCCCTGGCTTCAGCATCCTCCCCTGGGACCACGGGCTCCACCCAGAACTGGGGTGAGGGACCCAGGGCCAGTTAGGGACAGAGTACCCCCTGGGGGGGGGCTCTGTACTGGTCAGGGGGCTTCAGTCCCAGCTTGGGTGGCTCTGATAAATAGCTTGGGGTCCTGGTACTGGCTGGGAACTTGGTACCGGTTGGGGTCCTGGTACCAGCTGGAAGCTCCTGCACTGTTTGGGGTGGGGGGGGAGGGGCTCTGGGACGGGCCAGGCCCC